CACTGTTTAAATAAAAGATGAATTAATTGTATTTACCAAATTTTCAATATTTACATTTCATGAAACATTATTTGCTGTAAATTTGTTTTTCAGAGTGAGAGAAAAATAATATAGACATTTCTTACATTACTTTAAACCAGTATTTTGGTGCACTCATCAAATACTAGTGATAGTGTTCAGATGAAATTGATTACCCTTAAAGCAACAGGATAGGTCCATAGAATAACAGGAGATTCAACAAGATCTGTGTTATGAAGCAATTTCAGTTTGCTAACTTTGACTAAGTTTGGGAAAGAAAGAGATTAAACACAATTTTTAAACACAGATTTTATAAAGGCAGCAATTCTTAACAGTAGGTGTCTGTGACTTGTTGATGATAAATTTTAACAATAAATGGACAGCACACAATCCACTTGTTTTAAAATGATATATTCAAAACAGGTCAAATGTATGTAAAAAAAAAAAAATGTTACACTATTGGTTACCACAGTTATATCCACAGCTTTAAATAATTGTCTCTTTTTTCCTCGAAGTCCACACAGGCTAGTTCAATTACTATAAAACATACTTTGACAAAACAGATTATTCTCCTCTACTCTGTTGTTTCAAAACAAGCTGTGAATGTCACTTTACAAATTGCCCGTTACAGTTAAACTGACAGTCAGGCAGTCTAACTTCACTTTTATTATCACTAACTTCACATACTTTTACTAACTTACTTATTAACTTGATCACCTATATATATATATATATATCTGTTGCCTGACTAAGGCCTAGAACTTTCTACAAACTATGAGATGATATGATGTAACAATACTCACTTAAAGCAACGAGAAAAATTCAGAAAGATTGAGTAACGACGTTAATTCACAACAATTGAATTACACAACAAGCGATTCGTATACAGTTATGTAAGCAAACCTTCGATAAATTATCTCTTCTAAAAATACTAAATTTAACACTTGTGCTTTATAACTATCTAAATCATAACTTTGATATTAAATTTAAATGAAACAGTCATGTATATTTAACACACACACACACATTGAAAACAATATTTAAGCTCAAAAAACAATCAAAAGAATGTGTGTATAAGATGAAGGAAATATCTTTAAAACTCTTAAAAAGTTATAACAGATGAGGTTAATAAGAATTAGTTAACTTTACAGGTTAAACTTTAGGAAAGTATTAAAATTTACAGGAAGAAGTTAAATTTCAGTTACCAAACTGGGGATTCGAGCTTGAAAGAGAGAACTAACTTTGAATTCATAGTATTGTATACCAACTTCTATGACATTATATTGAAACATAAGAGAAATTATAACCTAAAGTTAACAATCTGGTCTGCCATTCTTGTATACCATGTAGCTTTACAAACGTATCACCCATTGTCAGAACAGATGTTATCTCCAGAGAATGACAAAGGCAGCTAGAACACAATCAGTTTAATGATTTTCTTGACTACTTGTTATTAGAAAACTGTACAAACTCAGAAATAACTAATAAATTTAGATTAATACTATATTAATATACAAAGATAGAATGTGCATGATATGTTTATATCCCACAATAGATTATGTTAAAAGCAGCAAGTATTATCTCATTTAGATTTCTGCAACAATACCAATTTCTGTGAGAGAAGTCCAAAATTGCAGAAATATTCCCACCATACTGTGTGGAAAAAACTAACAGAAATATAAAATGGCAAGCTTAATTATTAAATGAACAGATGTCAGCTGTGCACATGGTCAACAGGATAAACACCAACTTTACTAAAAAGAAATACAGTCAAAACTTCACCAGCATATCTTTGCACTTTCAGAGTTGGGAAGCAAAAGTGCCAAAACTGTTCTCATAACACAAATTCTCTTTATAACTGACCACTCACTAGACTCCAGATTTACCCCTGCTTCATGCAACAGTAATAAATAAATCTTGCACTCAAAGTGGTATTGGATAAAAATATCTCATGAAACAGCAGATAACATTTTTGATGAACTCATGATGGTATCATTTAGGATTGAATCAGCTCATTACTAATCTGGATTTAGCATGTTTTAAACGTGAATGTTTGAAATATTTAAAATTTTTGTCCACTATATTAAAGATATAATACAGGAGACTAAAATGTGTGATATCTCATACCATTATGTAATATAGTATGTATGAATCAAGCTCTTAGGTTATTGAACAAAATAATGTAAGCTGCTAAAGCAAGTAGAAAATAGTATTGTGATTTCATTTTCATACCACAAGTTATGTATTTGTATGTAATATGTCTTTGTCAGTTCCACTAATTTATTTAACATGCTCTTATTTATAAGCAGTCAAATCAAGAAAATTGAGGAAATGTAAGGGGATGTCCATGTTAACATTTGTTGGTTTAAATAGATTAACCATTGGACACATACAATTGGCTACAGAAATTTATAGGTTATTCTGTTGAGTTTTTTATCCATATTCTGAGATTGTGTCAAATTTTCATTAAAGAATATGAAGTAACAGGTGACATGAGACCAAGATCAAGGAATGTGACAAAAAAAGAATCTCTCCTGAACCTGGAATTTTCATTGTGAATGTTGAGGGCTGTATCTGGATTTTTTTATCTTGCTTCAATACCTGGAAGTTGAATTATTTCCAGGGTTTTCTAGAACTGTGTAAACTGCTCAGCTTTATGATTACTTGCATCCTAAAGGAACAGATGACCTGAGATAGATCACCATAGTAATGGGGTATCTTAGATGGACAGGGCAATCTCTACAGGGTATCTAGATGTTTTCCATCCAGTTATGCTGAGCTGCAACATTGGTCAAATCACCTGATACCAGGACACAGCTGGAGGTGTTCCTAAATCATAAGTTATATATATTTCTGAAGTAAATAAAAATTCTATATGAAAGTGCCACTGTCTCTACAGTTAAGATAACGAGAAACCCATACAGTAGCTAATGTAACCAGTGGAGACAACCAGTATGGAACATTTTTAATAGATTTTGGCATCAGTGAACTATGATGTAGAAACCAGCTAGTTGTTATCTCACACTTTATGTAGCTATACATTTTAGAATACATTAAAACAAATTTTATGAACAATTAATAACATTCACATAAAATATTTTCCTAATTTAGCATATTTTATTGCTTGTCATTAACATTTATCAGTACCTTTTTATATAAAAAATAACAGAAATCATATGTGAGTATGTTGTTTTAAGAAAGAAATCTGATAAGTCAATACTAATCAGTTTACCTTAAGAATAACAAAAATCAACTCAACTAATCAAGTGACTCTGATCTGCTAAGCTGGTCACACTGAAACTGATCTACCCAGCTACTTGAGACATCTGAGATTATCCTGTAGTGAGTATTTACTTCTTAATTGTTAAAATTTATTCTTGTAATAAAAAAGTCATTTAAATACAATGACAAATGAATACAATAATATGTAATTATCACAATTATTTATATTTAATTCTTGTCTATATAAACAAAATAGTCTGTGTATCTGGAGCCATGATAACTCCAAGAACTCCAAGATTCCTCAGGAAACAAAAGGAACTCTATTGACCAATGATACCTAACTATTATACAAATAAAACATTTTTTAAGTCATTTTTGTTCATGGTTTCTCCTGATGTTGACCAGATTTAGTTCTTATATGAAACTATAGACACAGTTTGAAGCTTTATCAACTTACACATGTAGGACTTTTAGTTTTAATGTGGATAAAATTAAATGGTATTCAGGATTTATATCTGGACTTTTATGCACATATGCTAAAGCAATTCAAATACACTATATAAATGTTATATCTGTTATAATTCTGTACTCTTTCTAGATGGAGGCCCTGCTTTACTTGAATTATGAATGTTTTTGATGATGAAACTAAGTACTGTTTATGAAAAAATGTCTGGGTTCTAATATTTTTTTACAAGTTTAAAATTGCATTTATGCATAAGCAGTCACAGTTGTTACTTTATGATGCTTCTGGTCAGCATCTCAATTTTAACACATTTTCTTGTGTTGTAAATGTTTTTCTTCAATTAATTTGTTTTTAAATTTCTGCACAGATTACACTTATAAACAGGATATATCCAGCTGTAAACTGTGCTTAATCTTGACATTAGGTGGTATTTCATACACTAATGCAACTGTGTCTGCCTCTGCTTGTTTTCAGTATACTAGAGGAGTAGTCACTAATTCTTTTTCACAACGTTTGACCTATTGAGCAAATGTAGAGCTAGACACGTAGAAAACCTTACTTCTTTTTAATTAATAATAGGCCTAATTTACGAATGTGGATGACATGGTTTTCTGGAAAGAATTGACTGATCTTGTACAGTTTCAAGCTTAGCTAATACTTATTCTGAACAAATTTTGTCTTGGTGTTGATCCAGTAGTCTCAGTCACTGTTATATTCAAGAGAAGCCAATCATTGTTAAAAAACTAGAGATAACACAAGCTGTTTCTCTCGTATCCATACAAAGCCAATCATTGAAAAAAAACAAAAAAAACTGCAAATAAAACAAGCTGCTTCGAATCCCATCACCGAACATGTTCCTGGTGAGTTTTATAAATATAACGTGATGGTCAACCTAGGTTTTTATTGGTAAAGAGTACCCCAATTGGTTGGTATTGACTATCCGCCTTTCCTCTAATTGACATTATGGACGGCTAGCATAAATCATTAAAATTTAAATGGTACTTGAGTATCTTTGCGTGAAATCCAAGAAGCAAACAAAACAATGGAAAACTCTGACGACGTTGTTGCAAAGCATGCGCTTCTTATGATGCTGCAACAAACCTTAATTTTTATATTACACGTACTGTATCAGATCGTACGTCTTTGAAGTACGGCGTATAATGTTGCACCAAATTTTCGTTTTTCTACCTTTCTCATACTGTTTGTTTTCCTTCCACCAGGTGTTTCTTTACAACTGTGAGATTAGTTTGAAACAGACACGTTATGGGCGTGAAAAAAATTAAATAGTTTAAAACTACAACAAGTCTATTTGTTGCGTCAGCGAGTCACATGACCACCGTGACGCAACGTTTCTAGAACTATCATGTACTTTGGCAAATGTTCAGGTTCTTACTAGAAATGGGGTACGCTGGTATATAAAAGAGGGGTAAGGTAATGTGTGGGTAGACAGTGAGTAATTGAACTGCAGTCACAGGGTATTGTTGAAGTTAACGTTCGTTCGTGATACTGTTTGTTTTAGCGCGAATATTGAGATTAAGTGTATCGCAGAGTTATATTCGGAAAGAATAAACCAGTTTTATTAAGAAAGGATTTGTGTCGCTTAAGTTTCGTCGGAACGAAGTTACAGAAAGTTAATTAACAAACGGAGACGTAACACTATTAAACATCTAGTGTATATTTACTTGTACATAAATACTGTCTTCAATCAAAAAAATTTTAGGGGGCTATATAGAACTAACAATAAATATATTAGTCTAAGGATGAACAACTCAACAACAGAAATGACAAAAAAACATAATTATTGAAAGTTTTGGAATAAAGATATTCCATCTTCTGTAAATTGTTAAAGCTATAATTACAAATATTGACCTCCATGTTGAATAGAAGTTTTTATACTCGTAGACAGTTGTAGGACGTTGTCAGGAATTTATGGATGTAAGGCTGGATTCTTTACAATAGATGTTTATGATTTGTTACTTGATAAGTTTCAACAATAAACAAACAACCCACATTCCATCTGTTTTGAAATAATGTATTAAAACAAATCAAGTGTATATACAAATTTTCGTTACACAGTTAATTACCACAGGTGGATCCAGAGCTTTAAATAATCGTCTGTTTTCGTCAAAGTCCACACAGACGGGTTCAGTTACTTTATAACACAACTGACAAAACAAATTATTTCTTCTTTTCTCTGTTGTTACAATACAATCTGTGATAATACACTTTAGAAATAGCCACTATACACTTTTGTGGTTATCTATCTAACTAGCTTGAACTACATTTTATTTGCGTAATTATAACCTGATTGATTACAAAACGTTCTGCACACGACGAGATATTATGATGCAATAATAATCAAAGCCAGGAAAAACTTACAAAGTTCAATTACATTGACATAATAATAGGACAAGCACAAATTCATAATTGAACTAAACAATGTATGTTAAGTAAACAAATCTGAAATAAACTTATCACTTCTAAACATAATTAAATTTCAAACTCGCATCAAATTTAACTTGAAACAGTTGTGTATAGCTAACAATAATCCCCTCTTCAAGAGAAATATTTACAATATTTTTCTATTGTATGCAAAGACTGTTTTCAGTTCATCCACTTGCCACCCTTGATGGCTTCAGTGTGGAACCTATAGTTATGAAGGTACAATTCCTACCTCATAATTTTCACACAGTCAATTTTACACCTCTGGATGTATGCAAGTGGCTGATGATGAACTCCTTCCTGTAGAGGTGGTTCTGGAATTTCTGGATGGCAACTATGATGACCAGACACTCTCATTCAATCACACAATCTCGTTCTTCTCATTACTCGACAACTTTTTTACTGACATACTTTTGGGGAAACAGTCTGTCTACATGTTCTCACAGAAGTATCACTCTGATTCCAATATCTGATGCAATGGGATGCTAAAGGTTGGCAAACTTCCTAACATGTTCTTCAACTTGTGTAATGCCATCTGCTGTAATTGTTACCACTTTACCTTGTTTGGTAGACCTTTCTTGGTTATGTCTGTCAGTGGTGCAGCAACTTCAACATAGTTTGGGATGAGCTTCCTATAGTCTCCTGCTAACACCATGAAAGATCTGACTTACTGCTTGGTCATTAAAGGTGGTGCATTTTGTATATAGGTTAGCTTCTCCTCTTCTGTGTATATCTGTTGGTCACCTACCTTGTGTCCAACAAAGTCCAGCACAGAATAAATGATGTAGCACTTATATGAAGTGATGGTCAGGCCTGCTGTCCTCACTCACCCAAACAGCTCTCTGAGTTCCTTTGGGTGGTCTTTCCTTCTGGCTGTGTAAGTCAGAATGTCATCCACATAATGATAAATGTTGATGGTTTTGTGTAACATCTTTTTCATCATGCAATTGAATATCATTGCTGTGTTGACTAAGCCAAATGGTATCTTCTTTAACTGGTAGCACCCATCTGGTGACCAAAAGTATGTCTTCTTGTTAAATCCTATCACCATCGAGATCTACCAATAACCTTTATGGAGGTCGATCTTGGAAAAGAACTTGGCCCCATCTAGTTTTGCCATGATAGCCTTTGGATTTCTCATAGGTTCAGAGTCAAACTGCATCACAAGGTTCAGCTTGTGTAAATCTTTGCAGAAGCAGTTTGAGCTGTCCCTTTTCGTCATGATTAGCACTGGGGAACAGTAGGTTGAATTTGAACGCTCAATGATTCTAGCTTCTAACATTACCCCAACTTCTTGCTTGATTAGGTCTCTTAATGCAATTAAAGGGCATCTGGTATGGCTTCACCTTGACTGGGACCCTAGTCGTGGTGTTGATCTTGTGTTGCACACACCTGTCTAGATTGGTGCTTTCATACACACAGCCTCAAGGTCTACCATGTAATATGGAGAGCCCACCTTTATTAGTGCTATGAAACTTTCTCACTGTTCCATCAATCAGCACACACAGATGTACCTTGTTCGTCATCAGATACTAGACTGGTTGTCACTGCTACACCCAGTGTCTCATGTCTTCACTTTCTTGGACTCAACAAAGCCTTCACCTACTGACATGTTGTGGTTTGTTGGCACCTCTCAATGTTTGTCACATGCTCTGATAACCACTGGCACTGTTGACCCATTTGTTAACTTGAGCTGACCATCATTCATACACTGTTTAATTGGCGAATCTGAGGACTTGTCTCTATTATGTTTTCTCTGGCAGCAGCAGCCATGGTGATATTTTTTTTTGCCATCACCATCTTTGTAGGTATCTACAGCTACTTTATGTTGAGAATTCTGCTGTTGCTTGTTGGCGACAGACTTGTACTCCCTTGCAATATGGCTTGTTTTATAACAAGCATAGCATCTCTTCTTCCTTTTGTTTGTTGACTTCTTGTCACCTTTGGTGGCATCTTGCATCTGGTCAACCACCACTGGTTTTGACGTTAACAGGTTATTCTTGTACTTGCCAGTTATATTCTTTCCATGGGCTTCCATATACTGTTCTGCCAGCTTGATCATCTTGTCCATGTCTTTTGGTGCTCTCTCTCTCTCTCTGAGGAACAGTGATATGTCAATGTAGCACATATCATAAATTGTTCACATATTAGTTTATCTGCCAGTCATTCAAAACTATCTTTACACTTGGTCATGTCAATCCATCATGTGAACTATCTCCGTAGCCATGCCACAAACTGAAATATGGTTTATCCAGTATCAGTTTGACTTCTCTGAACTTCTGGCGAAAATCTTCCTTGATAAGTTCATAGAATTTCAGCAAGGCCACTTTTAACTTGACATCTTATGTCATAATATGACATCTTTTGATGTTATGCCAACATACTCTTGTAGACCTTTTCCTGTGAGAAGAGGACTGCTCAACTGCTTTTGTCCCAATTCTGACTTTGGGCAAATCTTTCATACCTCACCAGGAAAGCATCCATGTTGTCTTTCTGTTCATCAAATTTTGGCAGCTTAGGTAAGCTGGCCTTGACCCCATTGTCATTCTTAGGTCATCCATCTTTCCATTGGGTGAGCTGGGCAAACTCAATTTGTGCTCTTATTCTCTCTCTCTCTCTCTATTTCAGTCTCTCTTTTTTTCTTTCTCTCTTCTACATTGACGCTCTTCTAGCTCTAGGTCTTGTTATTGTTTAACAAACTCTGGTAGATCACCACCTTTGAGCACAAGTCATTCGCCCCTCTCTATCTACTTATCAAAGTCAGTTGACATAGTTGTATAGCATGGTTGTAATCTCCAGAATATTTTCTCTACCACTATAGCTGTGCGTATATAGGCCTACTTTGCCCACTGTTGTTTACATCTACCACCAATTACCACTTTAGATCCTGGCTGGTTCGCCAATGTCAGGTGTTTATGTATGTTTGGCCTGAATTATTTACAGTAGGTGTCTGTTACTTGTTGTTGATAGATTTCGACAATAAACAAACAGCACACAGTCCACTTGTTTTAAAATAATATTCTTACGTCTCCGTTTGTTAATTAACTTTCCGTAACTTCGTTCCGACGAAACTTTAGCGACACAAGCCTTTACTTAATAAAACTGGTTTATACTTTCCGAATACAACTTTACGATACACTTATTTTCAACAATCGCGCTAAAACAAACGCTATATCAACGAACGTCAATAATACTTCTGACTGCAGTTCAATTACTCACTATCTACACACACATTATTCCCGCGTCACGTTGTCACCCTCTTATATATACCAGACTACCCTATCTAGTAAATG